TCTTGGGATCATCACGCACATTCCACCCTATTTCGATTCCTTCGAAATACTATCAAATCCTTCAAAAACCAGAAGAACTTAAGGTTTTCAACAAAAACGAACAAAAGGAAGGTAGGCGACGACAAGCCCTAAACAAAGGGTTTTTGCTGAATGAACTATTGATCGTGATTTAGCTGACAATTTGGGGCGGGTGATATGAAATTAGGGTTAGGGTTCTTTGATTTGGGAATTAAAACGATGAGAATGGAATTGCATGGTTGGGGCTTCAGGCTTCAACTCGAATTGCACACTTCACAAGGGAAATTAAATATAAAATATATATATTTTTTTTGTTATTTTAAAAAAAATTAATTTTAATTTTTTTGTAATATACATGTGTCATCCTTTTAGACAATCTACGTGTATCAGAAACCAACGTAGAAGTTCATGAGGATGAGACCTAGCATAAGTCACGTCAGCATATAACGGAGTAATTGACAGACAACGTAACATAGGTAGAACATTGTAACAAATTTGTACATAAGGTATGACATTGAAACTTTTTAAAGATGAGGTATAAAACTGTTAACTACCCGATAGTTGAGGTAGTTTTTTGTAATTTAGCCATAAAAATATGTTATTCGAGATAGGATTCTCGCCGGATTCTCTTTGTGAGGATTTCGGAGATTCTTTAATTTTGTTCGTTCATCGTACATCGTGCGGTCAGTTTTCGTTAGATACTATTTATATTCAATTTTAAATAATATAATTTAAAATAATTTATGATCACATGATGTATGATAAAAGGATATGATTACACAATCCCTGAAATCTTCACAAAAAGAAACTGACGAAAATCCTATCTCATGTTATTCTAAACAAAATTAGCACACTTAGGTTTAAACTCAATAAATATATCGGTGTCACATTATTGTGTGTCAAACTTGGCATTATAAACGTTAGTGAGCCTTGAGGTAGATGAACCAGAGAGATACCCAAGCACGCATTAAATGAATGGTATATACAAGATTTGCAAGCCAAAATTCTAGATGATTTGGACCACTATTTTAAATAGGAGAATTGCTCCGAGATTCTTTTTAAAGCAGGACTTTTTATATATTCTTTGTTGTCTTATTTTTTTTGCACAATGTTTTATAATGTTGGCACAAGAAATAGACTTTTTCAAAGTGGGACTCTCCATCTCACAATTTAATGTTAATTTTCATACTAACATTATAAAAGATTGTGCAAAAAACATGAAATGACAAAAAGTCCCACTGAGAGTGTCTCCTTAGCATTTCTCTTTTAGATATTGCAGGTACAGAGAGTGGCGGATTCATGATTCGAATCTTAGATGGTCTCAGTGTTAAAGGTCCAAGTTTTTTAGATAGAAACAAAGCACGAAGTGCGCAAAGAAAAAATCAAATTATTCACTGAGATATTTCGTTGGACACTTATCAAGATATGCCTAGCAAGTATTACCCTCAGAAGACATTCAAATATATATTTTCTAAACTCCGGGTGGTCCTGGGAGACCACTTAGGTCCCAGCCTGCATCCGACTCTGGTTTGGGAACAACACATTTACAAAGCTTTTAGTTGGGGAACTTTTATTAGCACTCTAAAAATCTTATTTTGCAATCCTCATAAATGTGCTTTTTGTTTCCAAATATAGAAAATCTAGAGTGCAAAATGAGAATTTTGAAGTGCCCATAACAATTCTCTTTAGTTATTGTGTGACTATAAACAATCTAATAGAGCATTATGTTCACGCAGAAGGAAAAAAAAACTACTATATTACTAGTTATATGTAATCATGTATTTATTTCTTTACCATGCACGTACACATGATGAGATATATAAACTCATAATTATATACAACTCGTGACGAGAGTCTGTCTAGATCTATTCGTTTTGGGATGAAGATGACCTGAGAAATCTGTCCCAAACCAATTGGTGCACTCTTATAACCAGGCAGAGTGGTAAATACGACCTGCAGGTTCTGATCCAACAAAGATGTGAGTTTGATTTTGTACATTTCCTCTTTCAACTGAATGAATTTATACCTAAATTTATTGATCCATGGGATTCTTTGGCTGTCTGTTAAAGGGACATAGACAAATTACCCGGTGGTATGAGGACAATATGGATTCAATTGCAATAACCATTTTGCGTGTTTTATAAGCATTCATATGGCCCAAATTTTGGTGCATTTTGGTATTTGGCTCCTACATTTTAAGAAATTAGGACGTATATGGCTCAAACTTTGCTTTAAAAACCTTGTAGACCGTTTAGGTGTGACCAAATGCAAGAAAAGATGGGGTTATGAGCAAATGACTTGAACAACCTATCCTTATGTTCAATTGTTCCTAGTTAAGAACCAATGTCCTGTGGGGCTTACCAAATACCAAAGACTTGAAGACTGGCTTAATTCAATTGATTGTTTTGCTTCTCACATGCCAAACATTCTATGAGACTGAGAGTACATCCCACAAACCAGAAAAAGGACTACGAAACTACATATATTACTTAATGAACTGAAATCAACGAAACGTTACAAAAGTGCTAAGAAGGTTATAGAATTCAAAGAGAGACTAAATCAATGTGAGATTAAGTCCATCCACATTTCTGGCTTGTATCGGGTGACACAACTCCAATAGTTCTTGTATCATTTTACATAATAACTCAAGGGTTTCTAATTCAAACTAATAAAAACTTATGTTCCCCGTATGGAGTTCCCAATTTCTAGCCTTAAGACAATCAATGCAAAAACACAAAATAAAACTCACTCGTAGAACTTGTGAATTTATCTAGTCCACCGCTGGTGTCAACTCATTCCAACAATGCCTCTTACACAAAATATTTTATCCTGCAATCAAGACATAGTCTGAATAGCATCATTCGTCCAATAAACGCTTGTCACATATTTAAAAGTAAATTTGTCATTCAATAGATGTTTGTCACGTGACAAACTGATGACAATAGAGTGTCTCTCTCCGACACCCCTCCCTTGCACCCAACGCCCTCTATTACTTATAATATAAATTTAGAACTTTATATTTTGTTGGGTAGGAAGAGATATTAATTGGTAAACAGAATGAATCATATGCTTACCACTTCTACATATAAGTAAGTTTACTCATGCCTAATCGTATGCGTACCACTTCATTATCGATTTAGTCTTGCAAGGTGATTCTTGCTAAATCACATGAGATTCCACGTGACCTAGGTTACTCGGGTTAGAGCGTCAGCAAGTGATTATTTTGGTTACCAGACTCCAATCTCCATTGCTTTGCCGTGGAGGGTGAGTCAAGGCTTAAGAAGAGGACAAAGGCATAGTCGATCTATAACATGTAAATATTCTTGTCTTATGACTTGTTAGTTGTTCACTGGTAGTTGTTATAACCTTATGCAAAAGAAAATTTTTTGAAATGTCATATGAACTTATAGATTTTTTTCAATTTTTTATATGAACTAAAATTTAAGTAATTTGTCATATCAATTTTCGACATTATTAATTTGTCTTCCCATCCTAACCCCGTTAAATTTTTTTTATCCAAAATAAATCATGTGCACTTGATGTTCAAGTTACTTCGAACTTTTGACCTCAAAAGAATTTCTTGTGTGAAAGGAGTTAGAATATTGGCATAAGGTCCGATCCAGTTGGATGGTCTTGAGAAAACATTGCTCATGTTGTTGTGGGAGAGCCAAGCCTAGAGAAGATGGATTATGATGAGGAAAGGATTTGGGCCTTGTTATTTAATTTTTTGGCAAAGGATTTAGGGATCTGGTTAATCCACAATTCTTTGTGCACCATCAAAGTGTAACGTAGTGTTGAAGAAATTGTTTATAGTGATGCAAAATACAAAGGCTTTATTTCAAGTGGTAAAAATGCAACACTTGTAATGCAAGTTACATTAAAAAAACATAATTAGAATGGAGACTCGAGTTAAAAATTGACTCGAAACTCATGACCTCCTCTGACAAATTGGAGATTGATACTGAATCTCACTAGACCGTTGTTTAGCGATTTATTTGACTCGCTAGAACTTTGATATGCGAGGGTGTTGATTAGGAAAATGATTTCCAAACCCATTTTCTCCTTCGACACACCCTCGCTCATTTCAGTTCATCTTGTTTTGGTTTATGAAATGAAATAAACGTGTAGGAAGAGAAAAATGATGTGAAAAACATGTCGTTACCGCATACACTAGGGGCCTGTTTGGGAGATCGGATAAAGAATTGGATAGGATTAGTTATACGGACTCGAGTGTTTGGCGCTCACTCGTACTAAATAAGCGTTGGATTAATTTAACCAGTCGGATAGGATAACACGGTATACACCCGCTTAATAAAACCAACCAAAACGCCCAGATTATTTAGTCGGGGAAGAAGAATATGGGAGAGAAAGGGAGGGAGTTTGGGGGGTGTGACGGAGAGAGCTGGGGAACAATTATTTGGGATTCTTCTGCAGTCGGGGAAGAAGGGAGAGAGAGGGAGGGTGTTTGGGGGGTGCGGAGAGATCTGGGAACAAAAAAATGATTTCACTTTTTAAATTTTTTTTTTTTAAGTTTGATTCCTCCTATCTAGTATAATATCAAATACAGTATAAATAATACGGTCACTAGTCCGATACTGCACCAAACACCCGACTAATTTAGTCATTACCATCCGGTGGCTATTTATCCTATCCGACAGAAATAGTCAGTACAGTCCGAGCTGCCAAACGAGGCCTAGCAATTCACATCAATACATGTCAAAATCATGTGTCGTACCTATTCTCTGCAGCACGCAGCTCGTTTTGAACGGCATACAGAAGTAGCGTAAACGGTATATGAAGAGAGTTGATATTCACTCCCCGTTTTCTCCTTGTGCACTCATTTTCACACTCAGCATTGATTCATTCAATCCAGAGGCTATAAGAAACAAGAGTGCATGGGAGCCTAATGCGAGTGCAGAAATCACTTTCCTAATGCAAAATTAGTAATTAAAATAGCAAGCTACTTTTGAAGAGCATAGATATGAGATTTTCTAATTCTAAATCAACCTGCCAACTGAAGTTTTAACAGAACAAAAAGGGATAAAGAAAACACCGGCAACAGCAAGAAAAAAGACAACACATATAATAAGATGAGAAATTTGACAGGACGAACTTCAAGCCAACAAAACCACTTGTACCTCCCACGGATTAAGTTCTCCCCGACGACCATCAAATTTTTAGTTGTTCCAAGATTTCAATTGTCCTCAATTCCTCCAAATCATCGGCAGCTGCTGCTCTTACAGTTTCCTCTACTTGTCCTATTGATTTATTCTGCACAGCTGGAGCAATAACAGCAGGAGAATCTTCTTTCTGAACGATTGGAGAATCTTCTTTCAAAATGATTGGCGATTCTTCTTTCCGAGTGGTCGGTGGATCATCTTTCTTAACCGGTGAAGAAGAAAATACAGGTACAGCCTGCCTCACAGTGACAGGAGGAGCCACTCGTACGGGTGGAATATGCATTGTTTGGCAGGGCATTGCATGAGGTGGTGCCGAGAACACAGGCACCGCTGTCCTTATTGTCACTGGCGGTGCAATCCCATGGCAAGGAGTCCTCAATTGTCGGATGGGTACATAAGGAGCTGCTCCTGCAGCAGGGAATCTTTGGGGACGCATCACACGACTGTCTATTGAAGAAGCCTGTGATGATGTAACACGATTATCATGCGTTGCATTTGACTGGAATCTGCTCCTCAGAGCTTGCTTTTGGCAAATTAAGGGCAGTATTTTTGAGGTGTGAGCAGGTGGAGGTTGTGGACTTGTAGGTCTGCGGTTCTGAAATGGAAACTTCTTCGGAAATAGAATTGGAGCGGTTGGATTTGCCATTGTCATTTTTTCCTTTAACCGATAATTGATTAAGGCTCGTGCTATAGTGATCTGTTCCAGCTCATCATTGTGCTCGGGCTCAGATGAAGAGCTTGCAGTTTCCTTTGCCACTGTCCAATATAAAATATGCGATTCAAGTTAAACACAAAAGTTACTAAACTTTGACCCCAACTCTCATAATATATCACCAGGTTCAATACATAGAACTTTTTTTTTTTTTTTTAATTGGAACATAATATGGAAGGATGACTTCAAAGAGATATCGCGTTAATTTCATAGATGAGTATCATACAGAAAGAAACAACAAAAAAAAAAAAGAAAATCAGAACCTCTTTTATTTGCCAAAGAGAAGAACATTAAAATGAAAGCAGCAGATGCAAAAGGGTTTAGGTTTTAGATGGGCGCTAAACTAAAATCAAATTCCAGAAAAACTGTGATCCGAAATAATACAATGCGATGAAATATAAGTGACTAGTACACAGGAACTCACATTGTTTCAAAGATGACCAAGCTGCCATCGCTGCATTCTTCTCTGCTTGTTTTTTGTTCTTGGCAGGTTCCCCTGTAAATGTGATTCCAGCCAATTCAACTACCCCCGTGAAAACAGGTAGGTGGCCAAGGCCAGACCTGAAGGTTTTGTACTGCGGCAACGGAGCTCCTACTCGTTGAGCAATTTCCTGCAAGAGGTTCTTGTAAACTCCCGTCTCATCCTGAGCAAAACAAGGCCTATCAGAATCAAGACAACATACCAAATGAAATCGCAAAACGCATTGTATACCAAGTTACTAACACATCAAGGTGATAATGACATTGGAAAATTACAGACCCATTTCAACTAATTACATTTGGTAGCAAAATTTCCTAAATACTTTTGGGAGGATAGTTTAGGTGTCATATCAATTCACAACCGACCCGAAAAATGTAGTTAAAACATGGAAACAAAGTTTAATGGCCATTTCAACCTCCTTGATGCCGATTAACTTAACGAGAATGCATCAATTTCCATCAACAACAACACAATCAAGTTTCCTGAGATCAAATTTCCTCCTCCAAATTGCACCAAAACACATGCCAAGTTGTAAATTAAATAATAAACCAATTCCATATAAAGTTACAAAAAGAAATTGACTTGCTCTGTTTTCCCGGCAACCAATCAGGCGGACAACTAGAAAGAGAACAGGTTCCCTGAAGTTGACTATGGAAACCCACATTTTATATGACCAAAATACCCCTCCCTGACGATTTAATTACTAGCACGTTTCCAGTTAGCATAGTCATCAGCTTTTCAGAATTCAGAGAATCCAAACTGGATTTTAAGAACGCCCCACCGCTATCAAGTACAAAAAGAAGAGGGGCATTTCCGTCATTTCGCCCAGTTCCCAACCTCAAGCGCCTAATCCCGGCCGGCCAGTGATCCCCACCTCCGACTTCCGCACAAGTCCGGTGAGCAGGACATGCTTGATCACTTACACGGCGCACATTAGCAAACCCCATACAAAACACCAAATTTTGAAATTGCAAAAAGAACAAAATTATAATTTTATAAATTATTGATTTCAGTTGCGAGCTCATCATGTTCGCACAGAAACTGATCAGCGAGAAACCGAGCGGCGACTGAAGACCACGCGCGCAAAACCCTAAAGGAATCCCAACGGTGTGAAGAGAAAGAGAGAGATAACTAACCAGAATCCTAGCGGCAAGAGAGTGAGAGGGGCCGCGATTGGAGAGGTAGTTGAGGGCGACCTCGGCGGCGGAGTGTTCGGCCTGGCGGAGAGTGGTGCAGTGGTGAGGGCTCTCGAAGATCTCGCCGTTAAAGTTGACGTTGGCCTTGAACCTGGGCGCGTGGTCCGGACCTTCCCGAATGCACGTGTAGGAAGGCAAGTTGAAGCAGCTCCTTTGGGCCAGCTCTTGCAGCTGGTTCTTGTACATTTCTTCGCCCCTCTTCTCTTCACTCTCCCTCCCTGGGCGTCTCCGTCCGACCCAACTGTTCTCGGAGCTCCAAGGTTGGGTTTAGGTAATGGGAGGAGCCGGAGCGAGATCGGATCGGCGCCGATTTTGTGTCGGGTCGAAAGTGGATTTGGGTTTCTGGGGGCCGGCGGGAAATGGTTCCGGTTGAGATCAGAGGATTTTAGGGTTTTTGTGAGTGGTGGTGTGAAATTGAGTTTGTAGAGAGGAGGTTGGGACTTCGGAGTTGGGGGATGTGAAGCTGCAAAAGGGAGGGAGGGAGGGAGGGGGAGAGAGATGGAGGAGAGAGAAGGGAGGCCACTCAGGGTCAGGGGGGGGTAATATTTTAGGAGAGTGGAGTTTGTCTTTTGGGAAGGTAATAATAAAATATTGGGGGGAGAGAGAAGAGAGAGACGGGAGTTAAATTAAATAGTGGGGTTTTATTGGTGGGAGTCAACTGGACGTTAGGCTGCTTCTGCATGGGTTCCGTGGATGCCATCTTTTCTTAGATTTTCTTTTTTTCCTTTCCTTGCTAGTGCACGAAATGAAGTGACACTAATTTAATTTAATTAACAATTGTGATGAAAATTTATATAATATAAAAATATACAACATCACTATGCGTACAAACTTGGTATGTATTTCACCGCCATTTTTCTTTTATTTTTCTTTCCGTGTTCTATATTTTTAAACTTCAAATATACGACAAAAAACAAAACAAAATTTTAAATGTTACAAATTAATTATTAGGTTAATTGATATTTCATGAAGAAATGATAACAATAAGTATTAGATTTGTCTTTGACGAAAATCGAACTTAAAACATCTCACTTATAAATAAATTAAAAAATATCACTACATTATAATACTAATTGGAAATCATGAGAGATTTGTTAACACGAGAAAGATAATTATTTTTTATTTTATTTTTACGCTAATCAATATTGTATTATTTTGATACCATTTACCGATTATAACTTAATATCATTTAATTATGTTTCTCAAAAGGGAGTGAAAACATGTCGTTGTTTTAGTGCATACGAGCGTGTTACATGCATTGATATGCGCTGATCATGTGACTGTAGAACCGCTGCATGTGAGACACTCGTTGTAGGCAATAAAACGGCTAATGTCAATTATGATCAGTGCATGTGAATCGATGGGTTGTCTGCAACGAGACAACGATATGTCAGTTATAACCAGTGCATACTAGACGCTTGTTGATTACAATTGTGGCATTTAAGATTTATTGTTTGCTTTTTATGGCCAATGCATGTTCGACACTTGTTAGTTGGAATTAGACAACCGTAAAAAAATTGTAATAGGTAAGATTTTCTCCAAAACAGGCTCATGTTGATTGTTTCAGTGTTACAAAACACATCTATTAAACAATTGAGATTTGTTTCGTGTAGGCATTCAAGAATTTATTTCCTTTCGTTTTCCCTCACCATGTGGAAAAATCAATTTGATTTCCTCGTCAACACAACAGCTCTGCTACTAAATCATAGAGGGGTGAAAAATAATGATGAGTGGGCCTAAAAATAAAGCTTTGTAAAACCTTTTTGAAAATATTTAGGCCATCTCTAACCCAAAAAGGCTAAGTTTAGCCTCCGTTCAGATTATAGCCTTGCAAGCAATTATTTTTTAATGAACAGTGATATGCCATATTTATATACCATCTCCAACTGAATGGGCTATTTTTTAGCCCCTCAATAATTTATTATTTTAAGTTTGTTCTTTAATTTTATTGGTTAATTGAATTAAACTATCATATTAAAATAAGGTTTTTAGACATATTTTGAAGGCCACTTGTCGCTAAATGTTGTTTTAAGTTTCATGTTATTAAATATTTTAATTTTATTTGCATATTAACAACTTAGACATTAAAATAAGGTGATATAGTATGGAATGGTACGGTATAGAAATGACTTAGGTATTTATAGAAAAAAAAATTAAAAATTTTAATTTTTTTAAAAAAAATTTCGTCTTAAAAAAAAAAAAACTGCATGACATCAGCTAGCAGCACAGTTGTGCCTAACTTTTTGGCCTAGCTATGTTTACCTAGCCATTTGGCTATATTTTGGCCTAAGGCTGGGCATTAAAAAAAAAAAACTGATTGAACCGCCCAAACCGCATCAATGGTTTGGTTTGGTTCTTTTTTTTAAAAAAAAATTCTGGTGGTTAAACCGAACCGCACTGACCTTAATTGGTTTGGCAATCGGTTCTCAAAATTCTTAGGGTGCGGTTAACTGAACTGACCCGCATATATTTAATTTTATTTTTTAATCATAATTAATACGTGTAGTAATATAAATTATTAGTTATTTACGAGTTTTCGTGTTTTTACTACATGAAAACAAACCTGATTAGTTTAAGAGTCATTTTCTAGAATAACAGGGGCACCATTTGGAGAACTTAGTCTATAAGGCATTACAATATATAGCTAAATGTACTCTCTGTAAGATCATTATCTTAATACAAGTTTTTTTCTTCTTCCTCAAGTCTAATACTTTCTCTCCCTAAAATCGCTCACAGTTATACATTACTACAACAATCGCTATAGCTTTACATGGTATTAATCGCCGGAAAAGCTTAGTTGTTGCTTTGGTGCTATCCTTGGGTTGCTTCATTTGTGTTTTCCTTTGAGCAAACACTCGTATTGGTGCTATGTTATGTAGCCTTTGGAAGATAAATTTATTATGTATTTTTGTCTTCACATAAACATAGAACCAATCCAAACCAACCCGCCACATTCGGTTAACCAACTCGATCAGTTGTAGACCTAGCTTGGTCGGTTTCAATTTGTAATTTTGGCCAAACAGACTAGGTCGGTTTGGTTTCGGTTTTGGCCCAAAACCGACCCAAACCAACATGCACCCACCCCTATTTTGGCCTATGGCCCCTATGGCTAGCTCGATTGGAAATGGCCTTAGTGGCAGAATTTTTGTGTCGATAGATTCATGGCAAATGTTGTTATAGGAGATTGCTTCTGATGGTATAATTCTTATTTTACTTATACTGTATTTTATTTATGCTCTGACATCACATGTGGAATGAGTTCAATCTCGCTCACATGAGCACTCTTGCATTTAATCACTTTTAGGTTTAAATTTACTCATATTTTTTCCACATCACTACACTTTACGGTTTTGTCACCTTCCGAGTGTCGATTCGAGTCCAGGTGGACATTCCGGGTCGGATATGTCAATTATAACCAGTGCATGTTAGACACTCATTGAATACAATTGTGGCAAATAAGATTTATTGTTGGCTTTTTATGTCCAATGCATCTTCAATACTTGTTAGTTGCAATTATACGACATAAAAGTTATGACTGGGGCATATTGGACACGTGTTAAGTAAAACTGCAGTAGGTAAGATTTTCTCCAAAACAGACTCAGGTTAATTTTTTGTATGTTTTCTATGTTACTAAATAGCTATTAAACAAGTGTTCTAATATTTTATTTCCTTTTGTTTTCTACACCATGTTGAAAAATCAATTCATCTTTCAGTATCTTTCAGATGAAGTTGAATTTGCAGACAATCAAAAAGGGGTCTGATTCCATTTCAGTTTACCTGCAACGCATTAAAGAAGCTAGGGATTATTTGTCAGCTGCTGGGGTGTTCTTTCAAGATGAGGATATTGTAATCCTTGCTCTTAATGGCTTGCCTTCTGAATACAATACTTTTCGCTGTGTGATTCGAGGTCGTGAAAGTATCATTACCCTAAAAGACTTTAGGGCACAATTACTTGCTGAAGAAATCATTGTTGAGAATCATTCGAATGCTTCTTTTATGACTGCTATGGTTGCTAATTCTCAGCCAAAAAATGTGTCATCCTCGCAGACATTTGGTCATATTCATGGTCCATCCCCTTTTACCTCTGGTGGTTACAAAGCTTACAATGGGAATAAACATAAGGGTAAAGGAAAGTATCAGGGACACAGATTCTTCAATCCCAGACCAGTATACTCCACTCAGGCACCTACCTCTGCATCAGGAATTCTTGGTCCCTCTCCACTCTCTTCAGTGGGGTCCTCATCTACCTCTTTGCTTCCTATCTGTCAGTTATGTAACATGGATGGTCACACTGCTCCATTCTGTGGTGCAAAGACTTCCGAGAGGCTTGGCTGTCAAATCTGTGGCAAAATGAATCATGTGACCTGGTTCTGTTTCTACAATGATAAAGGACCTAATTACATTGGCCTTCCTGGTTGGTCACATTCCAATGGGGTTCCATCTGTTCCCATACTGTCTCATTCACCTCAGTATTCATATCAAGCGCCTTCACAACCACATCAGTTACAACAATCTTCAATGCATGTTATGCACACTGTGTTCCCTTCTACACCTCAACCAGCTCCTCCATCAGCACCTCCCCAAGTTTGGTTGACTGATTCTGGCGCCACCAATCACATGACTGCTGACATGAACAACTTATCCTTGGCTTCACCTTATCCTACCAGTGAGACCATACAAACTGCCAATGGTGAAGGTTTACAAGTCTCTCATGTTGGGAATTCTATTATTCATACTTCAGCCAAACCAATCAAATTAAATTCTGTGTTATATGTTCCCAAGCTAACACACAATTTATTGTCGGTACATAAGATATGTCTTGATAATAATTGTTGGCTAATCTTTGATGCCTTGTGTTTTTGGATTCAGGACAAGGCCACATGGATGATACTCTACAAAGGGCTATGTAGTAATGGACTCTATCTTCTTCATTCCCTTTCCCATTTCAACTCTGGTACTTCACAAAGTTCTCTGTATGCGACAGCTTTTCTGGGACAACTTGTTAAATCTCATATTTGGCATCATAGGTTAGGACACCCTACAAATCATGTTGTTTCTCTTATGTTACACAAAGCTAATGTCCCTGTTACACCTACTAAGTCATCTGATTTGTGCCATCATTGTCTTGAAGGCAAATTTAGCAAATTACCCTTTCCAGCTCATGTCAATAAGTCTGTTAAGCTCTTTCAAATTGTACATAGTGACTTGTGGGGTCCTACACCTTGTGTTTCTGTTGATGGTTACAAATATTATGTAATCTTCATTGATGAATATAGTCGCCATTGTTGGCTGTTT